AGCAACCAGAGAGAAGACGCTATGAAGAATAGGAAAGGAAATTGATTAGGAATAAATTTAAGATGTATGTTTAAAGATAGAATTCATGAGTTTGTAGTAAGGCTGCTGGTGGGGCTGCCAGGTTTTATACAGCAGAACTCAGACGTCTGAAATAGTTCCGCCGTTCTGCTTAGCTGATCTAGGGAAGGGGTTAGTTAGAGAAATAGAAGAGGTGACCTAAGGAAGAGTGTTGGTGAGGATGTGGTTAAAATGGTTAAGCATGTGTCCAGATTGAGCGAGGAATGAATAGACAAGATAGATGGGTAGAGCAGAAGTGATTATGCAGATATAGGTCTCACTGATGAAAAGTCCCTGCAAGGGGGTGAGGAAATGGGAAAGTTGGAGGTGGAATGAGAGAGGGCTGTTGAGAGCCAAGATTTCCAAACTGACGGTGTTTCTGTGCGGGGAGGTAGCTGGTGTGGAGGGAGCTAAGCTCATTGGAGCAGTGGAAGTTAGAGGATGGCTGCACCTCAAGTATGAGTTAAAAGCTCTGGGATAGTGGTTCCCTGAACTTTAGTTTGAATTTGTACAAAGTGCAAATTTGATAGGTCTGGGATGGGGTTTTGGAATCAGCATTTGAGGAAAGCATCTGATGCTTGTGTTTCAATGACCATATGCAGAAAGACACAAATCTAGAAACACCATTTTCTTTCCTTCTCTCTTAAAGAGAGGGATTGAGGAGGGGAGGCTGATCTCACTTTTTTCAATCAAAGGTGTATTTTTATTTTTGGAGAAGGGAAGCCCCCAGCTCTTGCCTTCTATGACTTACCCACACACACTGATAAAGTTAATTATCTACCCTGGCTAAATGACTTTCCCTAGCAACATCCTAGCAACCAGTGTCAGCTCTGCCTTAGGCTGTGAAACTGGAAAGAGATTTCTTGAAGTCCAGCGTATTTTACACAGAACAAAACATCTGAACAGGAAATTAAACAGAAAGTAAACTGGATTCATTGCTAGGAGATGAGACACCGACACAATAGTTAATGACAGTCCATCAGAATGCAATAGTCAGAATAAGAAACTTTCTCCTCATAGGTTCTACTGAAGTCTGGGGGAGAGAATGAGGGATCTCATTCCTTGGAGAAGAGGAGAATGTACATGGGCAGGAGAAGGAAGGGCATTCTAATTGGTGGGAAAGGTATAAGCAAATGTGCCAAGTCAAGTCTGAAAGTGGGGCACTGGGAGTTGATTGCAATCTATGATCACATGGTGGAGGGTCTTGAGGTCACTTGAAGAAACTGAGTTGAGTCATAGGGAGACAAGGACTTTTTATTTATAGAGCAAATACTTATGGAGACAGGCTCTGTGATGTGCAGGGAGGATACAGTGGTGAGCTCCAGGGACAGCCCCTGCCCTTACAGAGCTCAGAATCTAGTGATGGAGACCGACGCCAAACAGATACAAAAACAAATCAAACATACAAATGAATAAGTAATTGTAAATCTTTAGAACGTTAAAAGGAAAGGCATCAGGTTTCAGGGTGCTATAAAGAGGGGCAGGATCTGCTCTAGGAAATCAGGAAGGACTTCTCTTTGGAAGTAGTTTTGCAGTGAGATCAAAAGGATACAGAGGAGTTGGCTGGAATGGTAGGAGAGACTAAAGAGTGTTGGATTCCAGGCAGAGAGAACCACACAAGCAGAAGTTCACAAAACAGAAAAACCATGGTGGCTGGAGCCCATGAGAGAAAGGGTGGCCTGAGCTGCTATCCAACAGAGCCTTGGAGGCCGCATTAAATATTCTATCTTTGTTCTGAGAGCTCTAAAAAGCCACTGAAAGAGGATTTAAATCTTAGGATTGACATCCAACTTTTCATTGTAAAGAGGAGCATCTGGGCTTCAGTGCAGAAGACAGATTAGAGGGGAGCAAAAGTGGATGCAGGTGGTCCAATTAGGAGGCTGAGAGATGATGACAGTTCAGCCTGGTGTGGTGGCAGAGGAGCTGGAGAGAAGTGGACAGATTCAAGAGGTAGTTGGAAGGTGAAGCTAATGACTTGGTGATGGATTAGATATGTGAGAGGAGCAGAGGTCTGCTGTGACAGCGGAGCTGGCTAGGGAAAATCCAGCTTGGGTAGTGGCATGAAGCGTGATGGGCTGTTTAGAGATTCTATTGTTGCCCAGATGATAAGGTCACCACTGTATGGTGGAAAGAACCCTATTCTATTGTTGGTGAGGCCTGCTTTGAATGCTGGTTCTTTTCCCATTATTAGCTGTGGCACCTAGACAGGCAATTTGATAGGTTCCTCATCTGGAAAATAGAAATGTGGTGATGGGGGGGTGGGGGGAGAGGTGCTCCTATCTCACATGGCTTTCCTGTCAATGATCCATAAAAAATTAACTATTACATCCCAGCCTGCTCCATACCACCCACCTCCATATTAGATTTGAATGTGTTGATTTAGATGAAAAGACATTAAAGAGCACATATTTGGGCTTCTTTGTTTATCATGAGCTTTGTGAAACAGGGGCCACATAATATGCATCACTGCAGTTTCTGGTCTTCTGAGACAAAAATTTGGTATACTCTCATGTATCACTTAGTTTGTAGCATATATCACAATTATAATTTGAAAAGATTTGTGGAACTGTATTTTTAAAAAAATATATTTTATTAAATTTGTACAGAGAGGAAGGGAGAGAGATAGAGAGTTAGAAACATCGATGAGAGAGAGTCATCGATCAGCTGCCTCTTGCACACCCCCTACTGGGGATATGCCCGCAACCAAGGGACATGCCCTTGACCAGAATCGAACCGGGGTCCCTTCAGCCCCCAAGCCGACGCTCTATCCATTGAGCCAAACCGGTTTCGGCTGGAACTGTATTTAATATTTGCCTTTTCCACAGGATTGTGGGATCCACAGAGGCAATATATGACTTGTGTCCCAGAGCTGAACACATGGAGAGGCTTCAACATGTATGAATAAATGAATAAATTTTTTGTTCTCTCTGATGCCCACTGCTCAGCCCAGACTTGATCCCTAAATCTACATTCAAAGCAAACTTGCCGTATGACTAAGATTATGCACCATCGAGTCTAGCATGAGCTCCAAGCCAATATAGTGACCCTGGAGATAATTCACTCAGTTCACAGATGTGAATTTGAATGTTACTTTTACAAAGGAAGGCTGGTCAGTTGGATCAGGTGCTATTGAGTGTCAAGGAGGATCGGGGCTGAGAAAAGAGCGTTCATTAATTGGCTTCAGCAAGGGGGCACTCTCGGATGACCTCTGAAAAAAAGTTGTCCAGTTAATAGTGGCAGCGAGAGTCCCAGCAAAAGAACTGAGGAGTAAGTGGGCGGATGAAGAGCAATGGGGACCTCCAATGCAGATGGCTCATCTGGGCTGTTTGTTAGTGATGTTAAAGAGAAAAACCTGACCTGGAAAGCAAAGGTGATGGCTATTTACTTACTTACTTATTTTTTAATCCTCACCGAGGTTATTTTTCTATTGATTTTTAGAATGGGAGAGGGAAACACTTTGATTGGTTGCCTCCTGCACCTACCCAGGCCAGGACCCAAGCCAGGGAGGAGCCTGCAACCGAGTTATGTGCCCGTGACCAGAAATGAACCCAGAAGTCCAACGCTCTATCCACTGAGCCAGCTGGGGTGAGATTGCTTTTGAGGTATGCTGACTGCCCAGGGGAAATTGAAGTTTCTGAGAGCACCTAGTTAGAAATGTGCACACTGAGGGGAGGCAGAGGCCTAGACATCTCCAAGGTAGGTTTGGTCTTCATTGCTGTGGTTCTCCAGGTCAGCCCAAACCCACCCACTGAAGGAAGGGATGGGGATGGGGAGGACACAAAAGACCAGCACAAGTTTTGTATGGCTCAATTCATTTGATCCTAGCGCCCCCTAGAGGAAGAGTGTATGGGCCCGCAGTCACTCACAAATACCTTCTCCAGAGCATTGAAAGGAAGCTTGGAGAGGTTCAATTATTCTCCCAAGTCTCACAGTAGGTGAGTGGCAGGACTAAGGTTTGATTCAGGCCTGTCCCTAGGCAAACGCTGGCAGAAATTTCTGCATCTGGGCCTTCTGCTGCCTGGCCTTGGGGTTGCTGCCCGAGGCTCTGCCTAGGGAGCCCAGTGGCTCAGCTCCTCTCCAATCATCTCACTGGGGTCTGAGAACCTGAACTAAAATCTAAGCGGAGGAAACACAGCCTTTTCTTGGAGCCTTTCAAAACTCTTTTCCCTGGCACTGTGCCTACTGGGCCCAAAGGATGAGTTATTTTTGTCCATTTCTTATCCTCCGGTCTGACTTGTTCCAACAGCCGCTATGAGAAGGACGGTAGTCAGATAGTCATGGCATCTGATCCTGCCTTATCTGTTTGGCTGAGGCCTCAGTTTTCTCATCTATACAATGAGTGAAAGTAACGTCATGTTTATTGTGTGCGGTAGGGTGGAGAAGGTGAGAGCAGATAGCATAAGTAAACCCCCCAACCCATAGCTAGGCACGGAGTAGGTGTGCAACGAAAGTTAGTGTCTTTCCCTCCTTCAGATACCCTCCTCCACACGGTCCAGAGGTCCAGAGTGTAGCTGGGGGTAGGGGGGTGGGGACAGCAGCCTCCTCGGTGGTGGGACAGAGCCCGCGGTGCCCCAGGGTCCTACGATTTCCTCGCCAGACCCTGGGAATCAGCATCTCAAAATAAACACAGAAGTGCAGCTAATCGCCAGCTCCGAAACAAAAAACAGCGCAGCGCTCGGGGATCTGGGCAAAATCAGCCCTCCCTCCTCCTCCTTTGCCGCCGCCCTCCTTCCTCGCGCTGCTCCGCTCGCTCCGCTCGGCTCAGCTCAGTTCCGCGCAGCGCAGCTGCCAAGCCGAGGCAGGCACGGTCTCCTCCGGGCTCCGAGCTCCGAGCTCCCGTTCCCGCCCAGGCTCTGCCAGGTCTCCGCGGGGACCCCTTCGGGCAGGAGTTGCGTGGCGAGGGCCTGCGGCAGTAAGCACAAAGTTGGGGGGCCCCCGCGAGGATGAGGCTACCCCCGGCGCCCCTGAGGCTGAGCCGGAGCCCGGCGCTGCTGGCCCTGGCGCTGCCCCTGGCCGCAGTGCTGGCCTTCTCCGACGAGACCCTGGACAAAGTGCCCAAGTCTGAGGGCTACTGCAGCCGCATCCTGCGCGCCCAGGGCACGCGCCGCGAGGGCTACACCGAGTTCAGCCTTCGAGTGGAGGGCGACCCCGACTTCTACAAGCCGGGAACCAGCTACCGCGGTAAGTGGCCCGGCGGGGCGCGTTGGGGGGCGCGGGACCCGGCCCCCGGAGGGCGCCGACCGACCGCGCGGGACCGGAGGAGGGCGCACGGTCCCCGGGCGCACGGGGTCTGCGCAGCCCGGCAAGGACCCTTCGGTTCTGGCCATCCTCAGCCCTCTTTAGCTGCGAGCCAATTCCCGAGCCAGTTCCTGGCCGTCGTGGGGGCCCTCTGCCAGGGGAGACAACCACCCCCCCCCCTCCCGTTTCCGATGCGCGGATCCCGGGTGTGGGCTACAGCAAAGCAGCGCGTCACGCCCGTCTGGCTGGGAGAGAACCGGCTGGGTCGGGGAGAACCGTGGAGACCCGCCTCTCTCCAGCTCCGTCTCTGGAGTGGAGGGGACCTGGTTTCTCCCGGGTGCATCCCAAGCAAGGTGGCGAACTCCGGCTTTCCCCGCTTGCTTCCATTCCTGGAGGAGAAGACACCAGCTTCTCTCTGACTGACAACCCAGCGGAACCCTCGCTCCTGCTTCCCCGACAGATCCCTTCCAGGAAAAGGGACTTGAAGCTTCCCCTTTCCCTGGGCAGGGGAAGGAGGGAAGAGCCCGAAGCTTTTCGGAAGGGTCTCTGGAAAGAACTCCCAATTGTTTTCCAGGCAGGAGAGGATCCTGGATTTCTAGACATTCTCTTTCCCCCTCCTCCAATTCCCCCCCCCCCCCCGCTCCACACCCATGACCCCCAACCCCAGTGGAAATGGCCTTCAGTGTAGCCTCGAAAAGGAAAGGGAACCCCGTGAAGATGGGAAGGGACGCCCAAATTCCCAAAGTCTGCTCCCCGGAGGTCAGGAGACCCTGGCTCCAGAGGACCCGTGCCCCAATGAGGTGGCGCCCAAGCTCCTCAATCCAGGGCAGGCATTCGGGAGCGCAGGGAGGGGAGGACCAGGCAGCTGAGCGCCTCCCGGGCATGAGGGCAGCTCCAGGCACATACCTGAGCAGAGGCCCAGAAGGAAGCCTACCTGGTTTCCCCCTTCCCCACGCCCCCCTAAGGCAGGCGGGGAGTGACAGGGAGCATGCCTCTCCACTCCCACCCTGTCATAAGCCAACTCTGGCACCAAGCAGGGGAAAGTGGGTTGCTGGGGCATCTAGTGGGGCAAATGGGTTCACAGCCGCCCCTCCCCCCCTTCCACACCCGCCGTCCCGGTTCTTAGAGCTTTGAGAGAGGAGGCTGTGGGAACAAGACTGGAGAAAGTTTAGGGCGGTGTCAGCGGGCGCCCGCGACCGAACCAGGGGCCACCCTTTTCTGAACGCTTCTCCCGTTTCTAGGGGATCCCAACTTTCTCCACCGGGAGCTCCCAGAGCCGGCTGCCTAGCGCCTTTGGTACCCAGAGGCGTCTCGCTCAGTGCTTGACAAGCAGCCGGCAGGACCCTGGGTGCACGGGTTGGCGAGATTCTGGGGATTCACTGAGAGGAGAAGGAGGTTGGGTGGAGGACATGCGACTCAGCAATCCAGCGCTGGAGGGACCAGGCTGGGTTGGCGAGCGGCTGAAGGAGCTAGGCCTGCAGCTGGGAAACAGCCAATGCCCCCAGTGGACCAGAGGGAAGCCGGAACAACCCCATTGGTCTCCTTAGCCCTCCCCCACATGGAGAATCTGTGTGCTCTTGGGAAATGGCCCCAGATCCCCTTGGTAAGAAAGGTGTGGCTCTGGTGTCAGATGGACTTGGATTTAGTAGCTGTACCACCTTATGCAAGTCCTCAATTTCCCTGAATCCGTTATCCAGCCATGAAAATAGCTGTTTATCCAGCCACTCTGACAGCTTGTCCGGAATGAGTTTACAAAGATGAGTGTGCCTGAGATCTTCCATACATGCTAGTTTGAGTTAGATGACCTTTATTAATTTAATAATTCAGATTTGTTTTGTTTTTGGTGTGTGTGTGTGTGTGTGTGTGTGTGTGTGTGTGTGTGTGTGTTGTAAACGTAGGTTTTTCTCAGTACTCTGTCCAATCTACCGTGAATTCTGGTCTTCAAGAATTAATTGAATAAATGAATGATTGATTTCTCCATGGCAGAAGGCTTACCTAAAATTGTTCCTAATTTAAGCCCAGGAGGATTTTTTTTTTTCTGTGCTTTAGACCAGTATGGGGCCTAGGCCAAGTGCCCTATGTGGCATCTCTTCCCACAAGAATCCTCCCAGTTTGGCTGAGCACTGGCAGTAGCCAGGGCCCCAGAACTGGGAAGGAGGTGCCTCAGGTGTTCCCATGGACCACGGGGCTCCCTGATTGCCTAGGTGTTCATGGCCTGGAGGTGGGGACTGGGGCTGGGGGAGAGGGGAGCGCTAGACTGTCACCCTACAGTTATTCCAGCCCAAAATGTTAGTTAGCCTTTGGGACTGTGAAGCCCCCACTCAGCTATGAGACAGGCGATCATCCTCCTTTCCCGTGGCTAAGAGCTCTTGAAAGAAAGACCCTGCAGAAACCACACTGAGGCCTTCTGTGATTAGCAAACCCGATCCTGCCACTCACCGTTAGGAAGAAAGAGGTGCTGACCTAGTTTGACATTTTAATGTTGGCTCTTACTTTCTTAGAATAATTGGTGAAAAGTAAGTCTAATGCATTCTTCGTGGAGTATTGACTTAGGGCTGTGGAAATTAAATTCCCCTGGTGTTCTATTTGCTTTCTTAAAAAAAAAAAAAAACTTTTTCCTGAATTAGGGCCCCTCACAATCCTTGGAATCAATCCTTAGCTTGTTTTCCTGCCTCAGCCTTTGTCCCCAGTATTCCAGTTCACCCCCAAATAGCTCCTGCTATCCATGGTCCCCCACCCAGTATATCCTTCAGGCTTTCTAGACTGGAATGAAATGGCCACTGTTTATTGTAAATGTATTGAAACATGGGGTTTCTTCTCAATTGTCAGAATCTAATTGAGTTTATTATTCAGCTTTTCCAAGTTGTTAGTACTATATTGACTTCCCTCTCTCTCTCTCCCACCACTTCTCTCCCTCCCTCCCCCCCTATCTGGGTCCCTCTGCAATAATTGTGCTTTGAAAGCCCCTGAAAGGCCTGCTCTGTTTCTGACCAGGGCCTCCTTTGAGAAGGAGATTACAGTGATTAAAAATAACAAGTGGAGGATCCTCAAGGGGCATTGCTTCTGGGAGGACAATTTGCAGGACCCGCCATTCCCAGATCACAATTTCAAGCCAAGGAGGAGAAAATCGGCTGCAGTGTTTAAGAATCGATTGAAAATAAAAGAGCCTCCTTTGTCTGATTTATTAGGTCTGTTTATTAGGAAAATAAAGCCAGACCCTGGCTAATGAGAGTGGCTTCTCCTAGATGCTCTTTAAAAGGGGAATTTCAAGGAACGTGGTGGGAAAAGAATGTCCAGTTGAAATTTGAAAAGCTCCTCCAACTTTAAACATAATTGGGGGATTTATTCTAAACCAGGAGGTTTGGAGACCTCCAACGCTGCTTTGCCTTGTCTTTCTTTGTCCTGCTCTGGGGCACACACTACCTCAGCCTGATGGAAAGAGCACAGGCTTTGATTATGGGCTGAGTCTGTTTCAACTCCTGCTCAGTCACATAAGTACTTGGTGACCTCAGGCAGGCCACTTCACCTCTCTGACCCACAATCTCTCCAACTGTAAAATGAAAGTGAGTTCCCACACCCAACCCCATCCTTAGTGTTGCTGTGAGAATTCGAAATAATCCTTGTCAATGGAAAATCGTCACACAGTAGGTGCTAAAATACATATATGTTATGAGATGATTATTTCAGAAATAGAAAAATACTTGGCAGTGACTAGCCCATCAGGCATTGTGTTAAGTGCTTCCTACTCATCTCACATCTTATTTCTTGTAGTACTTTGAGGTGGTTTATTATTATTCTTATTTTTTGCATATGAGAACACCAAGTCTTACAGAGTTTAGTAAGTTGCCATAGTCACACAGCTAATAATCAGCAGATTCAAGATTAAAATCCAGGGATGACTGCCCTGGCTCGTGTTGCTCAGTTCGTTGGGCTTTGTTGGGTACACCAGGATGTTGCTGGTGGATTCCCCATCAAGGGCACATGTCCAGGTTGCATCTCCATCTCTGGTAGGGGGAATACAGGAGGCAGCTGATTCTCTCTCTCTCTCTCTCTCTCTCTCTCTCTCTCTCTCTCTCTCTCTCTCTCTTCCCCCTCCCTCCCTCTCCTTAACCTCTATCCCCCTCTCCCCTCTCTCTAAAAAAATCAATAAACTATTCTTTAAAAAAATATTCAGGGATATCTGGCTCTTAAATCTATGCTCTGAACCAGTATTTTATACAGATTCAATGAAATGAATTGAGAGTAGAATGAATTCTCTCGGCTACCCTCATCCTTCTGGATGCTGTCTTCATTGAAGGAAAACAGCAGCAGCAAACCAAGATAATAACTGACATATCTTGGGACACAAAAATAAAGTAATAGGTTCTTATTTACATTTTCTTTTCTTTTTTCTGTTATAGATTTCAGTTTTGCATTTTCCCATAAACCAGAGGATTAATTTAGAAACATAAAGAACCTTGTCAATCTTTAGCCAATTCCTTTTGTTTGTGGGGAAACAGAAACAAATTGGATAGGAAAAAAAGAAACTAATTTGACTATTGTATTATTTTTACATGAAGATGTTATATGATCATGCTTGTAAAATTATATGTTTGAAAAGTACGTAGGTATAAGCTGAGAAATTTAAGCAGGATGGGGTCTTTTAAATGAACTCTTATCTAGTTTTACTTGAAATTATGTACTACTGATGATATTGTAATTAATTGTAAGACACTCCTCCCACCTCTCCTACTTTCTTGTACATTACCCTTTTCCCTTTTAAAGAAAAATGTTGAGGTATAAATGATTTAATATTTGTATATACTGCAAAATGATTACAACAATCACTCAATAGTCACCATTTGTTTACCATATATAATTACAAATTATTTTCTCTTGATGAGATTTTTTAAGAGTTATTTTTACCCTGGCTGGTTTGGTTCAGTGGATAGAGTATCAGCCTG